TACACTGCTAGAAACTTGAGTTTCAACGACTGATTTAGCGATGGATAAATTATGTAGCAAAGTTTTAGGCTTATAGTTAGGGATTTACAACAGATTTGCAATATTTTAGATACTTACTTTATTTATTCAACATTTTTCATATTTGCTAGGATTTATCGAAGGATCAACTACGAATCTTGCAAGTGTTTATCGATGCACCCCACTCCCTTGCTAATCGATCGAAAATCAAGGCATTTCAATGAGGGTTCAACGACAGATAGAGAAATTATCGATTTTTTTCCATCTATGGTACACGTTTTGCGACAGATCGCCGACAAAAATTATATTTGGGGTACGCGCGTTTCTGTTTTACGATCGCCAATCTCTCGCTGAAATTAGCGCAAACCAATTCTAATTTCACGAAATTGTTGTAAGTTTTCTTCCCTCCTAAATCCGCTTTTATCACTCTGGAGTAAGTTCCTATGCCATGTTAACCTAATATCACCATCTCCGCTCTAACAGATGATAAAACAACTCACCATTGTTGCTTTCAATTCCGACAACCTCCATAAAATCTAAAAGTAGTTTTCATTAACATTCGAATCAAGTAAATCACTTGATTTCCTTTTTTTAGTCCTATATTAGATTTAGGTTTAGTTTAGTTGCACAATATATTACGTTAGGGTATAATTTCCCCATTTTTCTGTTTCAATTTTCATCCCTGTTATACCTCAACATTACATGCAAAAATCACCTTGAATCGATTGCATCGTGTAATTAAAATCTCAATTCCTTGAATCTCATCTTCTAACTTGATATTTTCATTCATCTCTTGAATGTTGTCTCCAATGCAGTAGTTTATGTAGTCCAATGTAGCTTTGACTATGTTTGTCTCCAATTCAGTAGGTTCTTAAGTCAAATGTAGCTTTGTTTGGTGTTTCTGAGCTTCCCTCCACTAGTTCTCAAATTTCTCTTCCGATTTTTTTTCTCCTCACCATCAAGCTTTAAAGGTACATCTTCATTAGATAGAGACACATAATAATACCTTATATGATAATAATACCTTATATGATAAGCAGGAGGATGAAGATTCAATCAAGCAATCCTCCCATTCATTGCTTGTCGTGCATACATCTCCAAAGACACGGATTTCATCATATCATATCCAATAAAAGTTTTCAGGTTCTTCTCATAGACTTATCATTCATTCATTCATACAATTTTCTTTTCAATCTCATAAAATGCAATTGCTTTTCCTTCTTGTCATATAATCATTATCTCAATAAATGATGATAAAAAGCACTCTTTCTACAAATATTAATATGTTTTCATTGATCTGATGTATTCTCTTTAGTTACATATTCCATAATAAACTAAATAGGAATGTAAGTTTCCATGAGCTCTGAATTAGTTTGTTCAACTTAGATTTTTGTACCCTTTTGAACTAATATTCAACAACTCCTCTGAATCATTATGTACTATTATGGTTACTTCATTGAAATCTTAAATTTTGTAGGTATAATGTGTGATTATTTTTGTCCATTTCTAGATTTGTATGAATATGATTTTGGATATGTTTTAGTTATTGGGGAAGTTTCTTATTATGAATTTATGTGGGTTTATGCTCTTTGTTTTGGTGATTAGTTTTAGGGTTTGATGAGAAACCATCCATTAACAAATGGTAAGCAGAATGATCTTGAACTTGGAGATGTAGTGATGGTAATTTAGTGTTTCTTTCTACTTCCAAATTTACACTCCCCAACTGTTTGACATAATGCCTAAGTGAAAGTCATGTTAACTTTGTCTATGAAATTCCAAACAGGCTGCAAATGTGAGTTTTTTCAAACTTCTCTCTCTAGTAAGTGTATGTTACTTCATCATTTTGTTACTTTCAAATGTTGAATTATATTTTTTGTGAAGATATTAAGTTGTTTATTAATCACTTAACAGGCAAAACCAAATGCAGGAAGATTTGATCAGTGGTACTATCGCTTTGTTGATTGCATCGACATCAAGTATCCTGATTGTATGTCTACATCTGTTCATCTCCCTCAACATAGTTTTGTTTTTCAAGAAAAATAATTTTGTTTTTGTTACATTTCAACCAAGATTTGGTGGGACATAATCGATACTGTTTAAGGAGATCTTCAAACATCAGAACAAAATAGTGAAGCAGTTAGCTTAGTCAATAGAACCATTCTAGGAATCATTCTTATTGTTAACTTAATTTTGACTCGTTTGATCATTTCCTATTTTCAATTTAGTCTGCACAACATGTCAAGCATGGTTATTTTCTTCTGTAAGTGAAAAAATCGTTGTTGCCTTGAGAAAGAATCTTTTCACCCATCTTGTTAATCAAGTAAAAATCTCTTTTTTTTTCTTCAAAAAAGGAAATATATTTTATGCCCCTTTTGTCAAGACTGAAGATTCACTTACCCTTTTGCAGGAAATAGCTTTCTTTGATGTTACAAGAACAAGGGATGTAACATATAAGACCAACATTACCTTCAAAAAAATAAACTTGCTGCAACTTAAATGTTTCTGAAATTTTAAGGAATCTTTCTACTGCATTTATTGGTATTGGGTTCACATACCACATCGTGGAAGCGATGTAAGACCAACATTACTTTAAAAAATAAAAATAAAATTCTTTTTTAACATAAAAACTTATTCATCTTTTTCTTGTTTTAGTATTGGCTAACATGTCCGCTAAGTTGGACGTTATCTTCTTGGAGTTTCCCACAAAGCTCAAGCTACTGCATCCGTTGCATCCTCAATTACTTACTCAGGTGTGTATTAACCACTAAAACTCATATATTTATTTTTATAATACTAAAGTAATTGCTATCGCATCCAACATTCTTTTCTAACCAAAGTTTGTATGATTATAACAAGATCCCAAAAAGAAAAAAAAAAATTACAATTTTACTTTTTTTTTTTTTTTTAATTTGTAGAAATCTTTTGGTGTTCTACGCACTGTGAGATCTTTTTCACAAGAAAATTTTGAGATAACACATGACTTTGAGAAAGTTGATGAGACCTTATTTAAATCAAAAAATTGACGGAAAAAAGGAATCAAAACTTTCCACAGCTTAGTTAAATCAAAAAACTTAACGGAATTAAAAAAAAGAAGCTTTTGTACATTACTTTATAGAAACAACAATAAATGATAGTAAGATATGATTTAGAGTAGTAAAAAAAGTTGAAGGAAATGATAGGAGGAGATTGCTATTGATTATGTTGGGGATGCTTGTTTTATTACGAAATTTAGGGAGACTATAATTTTTAATTAGACCATAAGGACTAAGAGGGCAAGACTGTACCTTTTAATCAGACAATAGGGACTGAGAGGGTAGGGTTGTAATTTTTAGTTAGACCATGGTTGTGTTTATGTTAATATATTATCGAATAAGAGTAAATTACAAGTGTGTCTTCTTATTTAGTTTAGTAAACTCAAAAAGTTTTGGTTTTGATTAAAAAAATATTTGGATTAACTACTTATATATTTAAAATTACAAAAAAAGGGTATGATTATATATTTTTATCTATTTCTCTTCTTACATATAACAATATATTAATAATCATTATAGTAAATTTTTTGACAAAAGTTAACTTAAATATCATCCTTTTTATATATAAAATATTTACAAAAAATATGTAAATAACAAAACTGTAATACATTTGAGGGTACTGTACAAGTTTACCAGAATAATATCAACCAGATTTATGTTGTAAATATGAACCATAAAGTCCAAATGTTCTCAAAACTATCAACTGCAATTAGTGAATTACATAGTTTTAATAGGTGGCATATGAAATGATTCATTCAATTCCTCAGTTATAATTGTAATGGAATGTAATGCACCATTCCATTCCTTTGCATATATGATTGAAAATTGAATAATGTTTTATGTTTTTCATGTTTTTTTCTGCCATAATATGAGGCTTATGAAAGGTGCTATGGTGATAATACAAGTTGCCACCCCCTCTTTGATAGGGAAACATGGATCTATGTATGATCGAACGAGCTTTTTGGAAGGAATATCCTAAAAAGGAAATGGATGCCAAAAAAATGGAGAAGATGTAATATGATGTTAAACTTTGGTATTTGATGTTTTTGAATGTCTTGTTAATTATGATATTTGATGTTTTTGGTAAACTTTGATATATATATATATATATATATATATATATATATATATATATATATATATATATATATATATATATATATGTTTTTGGATGTTTTGATAGTTTTATATTGTAATGTTAATGTTTGGTTTTGGTTGAATTGTTATTTGACGTTTTTTATTTTTTATTTTTTTTGTGTAATAATTTGATTATTATAGTATTTTTTGTTTTAGATTCATAATAAAAAAAAATGATATTATATGTTTGCGACAGATTAGCAATGGAGAAAAAAAAATTAATATATCAATTTTGCTAGGGATTAGCAAAAGAAAAGAAAAATATGATATCTAAAGTTTGCAATGGATTAGCAACAGAAAAGAAAAATATCATGTCTAAAGTTTGCAAAGGATCAACGATTGAAAATGAAAAAACATGACTGACAATTTCTGATGCCTTCAGTGATGGAATATGGAGATTTGCGACAAAACAGCGACGTTGTTATACAATTTTGTCGCCAATGTCCTGAATAATTGTATTGATTGACCCTTTAGCGATGCATATGATGTCACTAATTTTTTTCGCAAGGAAACACTGATCAGTCGCTAAAACCATCGCTAAGTCATTAGCCACCTTTTAATTGCATATGGAGTGCATTTGTAGCTAATCCATCGCAAACAACAGTAAGCTACAAAATTGCGAAAGATTTGTCGGTCTCTAAAACCCATGTTTCTCATAGTGTTACAATAGTAGCGAAAAGCATGAACTTTATTATTTTGATGAAAACGATGAGAACATTGGTCTTAAGGCCATCCCCAATGAGGATTTAATGGTGAGTTTAATGGGGAAAAATGGAGTTGAATACATAAATCCACCATTGTGGGTGGAGTTCAATGAAGTGGAGTTTAATCCCTATTGAACGATGGTATGCAATTTTTTTTTTTTAAACCATTTTACCAATAAAACTTTTTATTTAAACAATTACACCCTACATATATACACAAGGTATATATCATTATTTTCTTATTTATAATATTTGTAGTTTACTTTATGTTATATTGAATAATTTATAATATTCAAGGTAATTTATATTATAATATTCTAAAAAAAAAATATTTAAATCTTAAAAATATTTTAAAACAATAACATATACAAAAATCATTAATTAATAATTTACAATTTGTAACTTTTAATTTCTAATTAACGTATTATTATGGTTTTACAATATTATTTAGAAAAATATATAATTAAATGTTGATGTGGAAATTCATTAAACCCTTAAGGGTTTAATGGAGTCTAGAGTTTAATGAATAAAATGATATAGTTAGTGGAATACTGATGTGGCAATCCATTAAATTCTTAAGAGTTCAATGCATTCCAATAGCCTAAGTAATACCCATTTAATTTTGAAGATGATAAATTGCAATATTAGAAAAAACATAAACACGTGCATGGTTTATTTTTATATTAGTTTTATTGGTCCCAATTTGCGATAAATTATAGGTAACATGAAAGTAACGTGTAGAGGAGATCCAGACGTTCAAAGAAACAGACAAAAAGAGTACAATTGTTGTTTACTAATCTATAATATAACTTAGAGTACGCTAGAAATTGACGACAATGAACAGATAGACAAATTAAGTACGATAAACCTGCTCCTTGTTTTAAACTAATATTCAAAATAATGATTGAAGATGCCATCTAGAATATGAATAACCAAACAAGCACATTTACATTTGCCTCTTCATTGTTAGCATATAAAATAGTCAGATGTTATATATGTAGTTCTTATCTTGAACTAAGAAAAAATAGGACGAAGGCTTCATGGGTTCCATACAAAAGAAACCACATGCCTTGTGCTTACCAGCCCCAGCACAAGGCCATATTAACCCCATGCTAAAAGTTGCTAAAATCCTCCATTCCAAAGGCTTTCATATAACCTTTGTTAACACCGAGTTCAACCATCAACGGCTCCGACGCCCTACATGGCCTCCCTACCTTCTGCTTCGAGACCATTCCTGATGGCCTTCCGCCGCCACAGAACCCAGATGAAACCCAAGTTTTCCCAACCTTATGGAAGTCCATGGATGAAACTTGTCTGGGTCCGTTTAAAAGTCTGCTTACGAAATTGAATGCTTCATCTTCACCGGTGACTTGCATAGTTGCAGACTTATTCATGGGCTTCACCCTCGATGCAGCCAAAGAACTTGATATCCCCGAGATAGTCCTATGGACCAGCGATGTTAGTGCTCTAATGTGTGCTCATGAGCAGAACAATCTATTGGAGAGAGGTTTGGTGCCACGTGAAGGTAGTATACTTAATTTCACTAATTTGTTAAGGATATGAAATACTTATATGTATACGTGTATACATACATATATTCATGTACGTATACACTGTAGTTGCTTATTTGAAAGTAAGTTCTTTATGTTTTCTTTCCACAGCATCGAGTTTTTTAGCAAATGAGCATTTAGATACCATGATTGATTATGTTCCAACCATGTCTGGTATGCGTCTAAAACACTTGCCTTCATTCGTTAGAAAGACCAGCCCTGGTGATGAATACATGCTTGAAGGTTTGTGTTTACAAGCAGAGAGAGCAAAAAGAGCTTCTGCCATTATCTTCAACTATTAGCCGAGATTATCTACACAGCAAGATAATGTTACAGCAAGATAATGTTTCCTAGTATTATGGGATATTAGTTAGTATAGATATCGTTCATATCCAGTGTATCCCAGCCTGTATATATATATACTTGTATTATTAATGAAAGGGAACGCATTGAATAGATTATTAACATGGTATCAGAGCGTATAATCTTCTGAAAACCTTTTCTCAGCCACCGATCTTCTTTCTTTCTTCTATCTGATCTTCTTCCTCCATGGATCCCAAAAATCACCCAGCCATCACTGTTACAAACATCAGAAACTTCATTCCATTCACTCTTGAAATGGAAAACGGTCAATACACTTCATGGGCTAAGTTGTTCAAAATACATTGTCGTGCTTTCCAAGTTGAAAATCACATCGAGCCTGAAGTCAAGCCACCACCATCCGCCCCCTCTTCCTCAACCGCCACTGAGGTCGAAAAGGCCACAGTAACCTCTGAATCTCAAATCTGGTCTCGTCTAGACGCGATTGTTCTTCAGTGGATCTATAGTACAATCTCCAGTGATCTTCTTCATACCATCTTGAAACCTCAAACTACTGCCTTACAGGCTTGGCAAGCTCTCGAAAATATTTTTCAAGATAATCAAAGTTCAAGGGCTGTCTATCTCGACAGCAAGTTCGTTTCCACCCGTCTTGATCATCATCCCAACATCTCCTCCTACTGCCAAGCTATGAAGATGTTATCCATCCAACCATCGGGGGTATAAATGTTATGACATCCAAACCCGTACCATCATCTTATCCCGCCACGTCATTTTTGACGAAACAATATTCCCATTCTCAAAATTGCCATCTTCACCATTAACTACTTCCACTCAATCCCAAACTGAATCAGATCCCCATCCTTCCTTATGGTCTTCTTCTTCTGAATCCTTGCCAACCACTAAGCCCACTCCATCTCCAAAACCTCCCATCCAGTTTACTTATTCACGTCGTTCTAACTAGGCTTCACATCCATCTCCTGTCATACAGCAACCACCAACCCCCCTCCCCCATGTTACAATCTATCTCCAATCGAACCATCCACACCAGAAGTATGTCTGGCATCTCTAAACCAAAACAACCTTTCATTCTTCATGCTACATCGTCTATTTCACCTTTACCTAAAACTCTTTTGGATGCTCTCAAAAATCCGGATTGGAATACAGCCATGAATGATGAATTCCAGGCCCTTATTGACAATAATATGTGGAAGTTAGTCCCAAAAACTCCAAATATGAATGTGGCAAGGAGTATGTGGATTTATTGCCACAAAACTAAGTCTGATGGTTCTTTAGAGCGATACAAAGCTCGTTTGGTTTGTGATGGCAGGTCTCAAAAGGAAGGAATTGACTGTGGGGAGACATTTTGTCCCGTGGTGAAGCCAACAACAATACGGACAGTTCTTTCCATTGCTCTCTCAAATGCAGGGCAAATTCACCAACTTGACGTGAAAAACGCGTTTTTACACGGGCACCTACATGAAACTGTGTACATGCACCAACCCCCAGGGTTTCGTGATCCCTCCTATCCGGACCATGTTTGCTTACTCAAGAAATCTTTATACGGCCTCAAACAAGCGCCCCGGGCTTGGTACCAACGATTCGCTGATTACGTGTTCACTTTGGGATTCAAACACAACAAATGTGATCATTCTTTGTTCATTTACAAGAATGGATCACATACGGCCTTCCTACTTCTCTACGTAGATGACATCTTGCTCATGACATCATCACCCCACTTACGCCAAACATTCATGCAACTATTAGCCAAGGAATTTGCAATGAAAGATCTTGGTCCCCTACACTACTTTCATGGCATTTCAGTCACACGAACGAAAAATTCACTTCATCTTTCGCAGCACAAATATGCCACCGAAATCCTAGAAAGAGCCGACATGAGTTCCTGTCATCCATCCTCCACACCAGTTGACACAAAATCAAGATAAGTAAAAATGACAGCACTCTTTTGACCGATGGAGGCACTCAATACCGTCAATTAGCCAGTGCACTCCAATATCTTACGTTCACTCGTCCGAATATCTGTTATGCCGTTCAGCAAATTTGCATGCACATGCATGCTCCTCGAACAATTCACCTCAATGCTCTTAAAAGGATCTTACGCTATATAAAGGGCACACTCCATCATGGCTTGCACATTACCCGGTCACCCACACACTCCATTATCGCATACACAGACGCTAATTGGGCAGGCTGCCCGGATACAAGACGATCGACGTCAGGATATGCCATCTACATGGGAAACAATCTCGTCTCTTGGTCATCAAAGCGACAACCAACTCTTTCCAGATCAAGTGCCGAGGCGGAGTATAGAGGTGTTGCAAATGTAGTATCTGAAACATGTTGGCTACGAAATCTACTATTAGAACATAAATTGCCTCAAACTAAAGCCACCTTCGTCTACTGTGACAATGTCAGTGCGGTATACCTATCTTGCAATCCTGTTCAACATCAAAGAACAAAACACATCGAGCTTGACATCCACTTTGTTCGGGAAAAAGTTGCTCGTGGTCAAATCCGTATTTCTCACATTCCCTCACGCTATCAGGTCGCCGATATCTTCACCAAAGGTCTACCTCTCGTGCTATTTGATGACTTCAAAAATAGCCTCAACGTCCGTGCTCCTCCCGATTCGACTGCGGGGGTATATTAGCCGAGATTATCAACACAGCAAGATAATGTTACAACAAGATAATGTTTCCTAGTATTATGGGATATTAGTTAGTATAGATATCGTTCATATCCAGTGTATCCCGGCCTATATATATATATACTTGTATTATTAATGAAAGGGCACGCATTGAATAGATTATTAACATCAACACCTTTTATGAACTAGAAAGCGACCTTTTGGATGCGCTTTCTACAGTCTTTCCTCCATGCTATGGTGTTGGTCTGTTTAAGTTACTAGAGAAGGAAAGTGATGAATCTGTAGAGTTCATCAAATCAAATCATTGGAAAGAATAGAACACCTGTTTGAAATGGCTAGAATCTAAACCAAAATCATCGGTTATTTATGTGAATTTTGGTAGCACAACAGTGATGTCACATCAATATCTGCTTGAGTTCTGTTGGGGACTTGCAAAGAGCAATTGTCCGTTCTTATGGATAATACGTCCAGATCTTGTGGATGGCAAATCTGTCGTGCTTCCACCAGAGTTTTTGGAAGAGATAAGCAGTAGAGGGATGTTAGCTAGTTGGTGCCCACAAGAACAAGTTCTATATCACCCATCAATTGGAGGATTTCTAACACACAGTGGATGGAATTCGACAATTGAAAGTATTTCCAGTGGAGTCCCAATGATCTGTTGGCCGTTTTTTGCTTACCAACTAACCAACTGTTGGTCGTGTTGCAACAAGTAGGAGATTGGCATGGAGCTTGACAGTGATGTAAAGAGAGAAGAAGTTTCGAAGCTAGTCATTGAGTTGATGAATGGAGACAAAGGGAAAGAGATGGGGACAAATGCATTCGACTTGAAGAACAAGGCCGAAAAAGCATGTACCTCTCCTTTTGGTTCATCCATTGTTAACTTGGGGAAAGTAATTCATCTCCTACAAGGATCTCCAAGTAATTAATTATTTGCTTAAGATGCATGTGAGTTTATGATTATATTATCCTATGTACCATTTGTTTGCTCAAAAAAAGATCGATGGTTTGTTGTTGATGTAATTTCATTCTCTTGCCATATTTAATCTTCAAGATGAAAAAATTAGAGTTCTTGCTATTGATGTGAGTTTGATGTAATATCATTCTTTTGCGTCCAGAGTCCATCGAAATTTTGACTTGTGTGGATTGTCATATCATCCATTAAATATCTATACAATTTTATTTTTACGATCTATAACATATTAAACATCTATTCAATCATAATAATCACTTTATTGTGTGTATGTTGAACATTGAAGAATCATTCAAATCTTAACTACAGTTCATGTCATCACTCATACTTCATTAAATAGTTATTTAATCCTAGTCATCATCTTTAACTTGCAATCAGTACAAGAAACGGGACCTATAGGGATGAAAAATGTCGTCTCTATAGGTTAAAAAGGTCGTCCCTATAGGTGTCAGGGGCAACATGTCGTCCCTATAGCTTTCGTCTCCATAGCCTCGTCGTAATAGATCCTTTTGGTCGTCGCTATAAATATCGTCGCAATAGGTATCCTTTAGAGACAACATGTCGTCTTGTTCTGGTTCGTCGCTATAGGTGCAGGTCTCCATAGACGAAACTATAGAGACGACTTGTCGAATCGACACATCATACCCTTTAGTAACAACTGTTCGTTGTGGTAGATGGTCCAGTAGAGATGACATGTCGTCTCTATAGACGATGTACTTTTCCTATATACTGAAAATCAGCCTTTTCCACCTTCCCATTCATAAATGTCAATCCACCCTCACTAACTGCAATGCTGACAAGGTTCCCTATATTCAGTCCTGTATAAAAAAACACAAAATCCAAATGAATAAAACAAAACTTTATTAACTGAAATATTTTTAAACAATAATTACACAAATCTCTTGTGTAAAACCCGCATTTAAGCAACCAAGTACAATAGGAGGATCATCAGATGTAATCAGTTCCCCATTTTCTTATATCTCCAAAGCCACCTTCTCTTTTATAAACATTAAAAAAATCAATGAAGGGTAAATTATGAAAAATAGCAACATATTGAAATGAAGAATGTTGTTATAATGGGTAAGAAATTGTAACTACCTGTTGTTGATTTGGAATCTATCCTTTGTTATCTGTATCAATGACATATTCACTACAAGTCTCATCCTTCCAGACAAGTGCTAATGGTGTATTTCATGTTTGATAGTGTGCATGTCTATATATAATAAACCGAAAAAACCCATCAAAAATATTAATGAAATATCTTTAATGAATTAACAAAGAAGCTTACATGTCATAATTGCATATTTCCTTGTTTAAATTTGTATGCTTTGTTTTGTATTCACAGATTTTAAGAGTTGCTCGTGAGCTTGGAGATTTTTTGCTTGTTGGGATTCATTCCGACCAAACTGTGAGGTAGAAGAGTCTCTTAAATACTCTATTGTAGCCACTAAAATTTAAGCAAATGCCTAAAATACCCCTGCACCAATAACTAATAAGATTGTGTATATTTTTCTGATTTCCCATTTCTATAATGCTTGATTGCAGTGGATGGATAGTGCAAGACTCAATCATTTGACATTTTGAGTTATCCATTATAAGATTATTAAGCCTTTTGCAAATAAAATATCCATAAGGGATTTGCCCTGTATAAGCTGTTTGGAGGCTAAATCTATATCTATGGTAAGTAGATGGACCCTCACAAGCTCCTGACTCAACAAGCTTGTTGTTCATCCAAAAAAGAAAAAAAAAAGGAAAACCATCCTCGCACTACTAGAAAATAGCCCTTTAATGACGCGCAAACAATGACACTCGCTGATAGAGGACGCGCATTTGAGCGTGCCCTAAAAAATAATATCAGTTTTGCAAAATTTGAAGGATAAAAGACACGCATTTGTGCGAGCCCTATAAATAGTGTCCAACAAAAAAAAAACACGGAGGGCACCTATCATAAAAGTGTGTGTCGTCTAAAACTGTCGCTTTATATTTTTTTTAGGAACGCGCGTTCTCCAATTTTTTAATTGCTAGGGGGGGATGAAATCCAAAAAATTAAAAACCCCGCCTTGATACTCTCGTCCTTCTTTTCTTCGTATGTTGTAAAATCCTTTTCAATCAAAAGAAACCCTAAAAGCATTGTGTGTAAAAGATCGATAATTTCATACTTGAAGTTCCTAAAGTCTTCATCGATCAAAAGAAACCCTAAAACCCCGCCTCATACTTGAAGTTCCTATAAGCGCTTTTGTTATCTTGTTATGTTCTGCAATAATCTAATTCCTCAACGACGTTGAGGAGGGGTTATTTCCGTTGGTTTGTACTCTATCCCATCGTTTCCGTAATCTGCCAAACATTGGACTAAGTCCAGTGCATTATTCAACTCAAGATCTATCTGTGTTGGGTTGGACTGGTAGTAGAGAGCCAAAGATATCTAGGCCCACAACCGAGAATGAGAAGATCCAAATCGTGTTACCCAACTTAAACCCTAATCAACGTTTCTATGGGTTTCCTTCATCAAAAACGTCTCAAGTCCTTCAACGGGATCAAGGGGTACGCTCGCATAATAGAACAGAATGGAAAGAGAGATGCAAAAAAGGAATTACTTGGGTTTACACGGAGATCACTTCTAGAGGTAAAATACTGAAATTCGATGTTATTCATACTTTCTTTTCTCAACAATGGATGAATTCCTTGGTTGTATCACTCATATGTTGTTCTAGAATTAACATCAACTGAGAAGACAACCATACGATCTGTACTGATCAGCCATGTGTGAACTTGAAAATTTGTGATGAGAAACATTTATACATGTTTTGGCTCAAAACATTGGGTGAGATCGTACACCACAGGGACAAACCAGCAATGCGTGTTGTATATCAAGGAGCTTCAGTTCATCAGCGTCTGTTAGTTTCAAGCGAAGTTGCAAGGAGGTACGAACCTGGAAATCAGGCGAAAGGGGATGTCCTGCATGTTAGCTTATATTACAATAATTCCAATCTCAATACATATGATATATCCTCTCTACAAGTTTATTCAAATAATCCTATTGATTTATATAAGGATGTGAGAATATTAAGTTGTACGCAACATAAAAATGTGGTATGGTTAGCTGGGTTTTGCATTGAAGGGAATCAGAGGCTGTTAGTTTTTGAGTATGTGTGCAATGCCCCACTAGACATTCATTTATAGGTGAACAAGGGAACACACTTAGACTGGTCATCACATTTGATAATAGTAATTGAAACAACAGGATTATGGTACTTTCATGAAGATTGCAGGGTGGGGTGGATAGTTCACATAGACATGCAGCAGCTTCAAAGATGATATTCCATTTTTCCAGGCCTACAAATACAGCCAAATCAGGCATCATCACCTACGTGACCAAATTTTAGGTAGTATGAAGCTTCTTTTGAGAGAAGATTGGTGTAACTGAGAAAAATAAATAGATGGGTATAATTAATTTTCTTTGGGTGGGTGTGTGTGTATAATATTATTCAAATGAGATTAGGTGTTGTGCCTAGTGCATTGTGGTGAGAATGAAATATTAAAGCAGGTTATCAGAATCTTTTAAAAATGAGTGGATGAATATTATCTGCTTTGAAATGTGTTCTATAAGCTTCTCCTTGGAAGAAGAAGAAAAAATAATGAAATTATTTGGGAATCACTAGACTCTTATATCAAAATGCTTTTGTACTACATAAAGGTCTTGTTTTCTTTCTTTCTTTCTTTCTTTTCCTCATCAGGTGTTGCTGTTTGGATAAATGATGCTTATTTTTTTATTTTTTTGAGAAAATAAATGGTATACCTGAGAAATGGAAAGGAAAGAATGAGGGCAAATTTGTAAAAAGCTGGGACTTAATGGGAAAAGTCTCGTTTCCCTAACTTGCTCTATTAGGTCATTCTTTTTGCATTAAGTCAAAAAGAAACACACATATATAGCTTACCAGTCAATTAAGTTTATTATTATTATTATTATTTTATTTATTTGGATAGATTGGCTTAGTGTCTTGAGTTCATAGCTTACAAGATTAAGTGGCTTTTTTTTTTTACTTAATGAGCTTAATGTGTTAAGCACATAATCTGGATTCTGGTTGTCTCATTTTTACTTAATCAGAACAGAATAACATAATGGGTTAAGCCAGGCTTAATGTATTAAAATACTAATAGGTGCTTTTTTGTTGCTTTGATCCTATTCTTACAATTGTTGCTGGACTTAGTGTCAGGGATCCTTTTCTTTTGACTCAAGAGAAGAAAGACGTGAGTAATCCAGCTACTTTCACACAAGGGCATTTTGGTCTTTTCCTGATATCTTTTGTATGTCTATTTCACCATGCTAGTACAGCAATATCAAGATTTTCTGCAAAGGATTATAGTGATCATATGGCACTAGTGGATGCATATGAAGGATGGAAAGAAGCTGAAAGAGAAGGATATGCTTATGAATATTGCTGGAGGAATTTTCTTTCTGCTCAAACACTTCAAGCTATGCATTCTATAAGGCATCAGTTTATCCATATTTTGAAAGATGCTCAATTACTTGAGACTAAATTAGGGATTAACACTTCAAGCTATACATTCTTTAAGGAATCAGTTTATCCATATTGTTTTTTTTTACTCTAGCAGTGCAGCAACAGAACACAACTATTTAGCAACATCTGATTCTACTAAATGATTTGGATCCAAGGTACATTTACATCAGCCTATATGTCTAAGAAGTTGTATTAATTAGAAACAATGAAATGATGTGATGTAATTGTGTGGTGTGTAGTAGCACCGTATCCGGTGTATCAGTAGGGTATGGAATCATGTGTCATGTGAGGGCTCTCTGTACACATGGGAATTGTCTTCAGGTGCTAAGCTTGTTTATCTCACGCATTATAGAGGTATGTATTATTCCTTTTTATAGCCAAATAACTAACTGGAATTTTTCTAAAGCTATAAATATCTTTTTAATGTTGGTGGAATCAGGATCCATAGTGTCCTGTTTGATGGCGGATGATTCGGGCTCTTCTGGTGTATTTTGTAGTGGTTGTGGTTAGTTTAATGAAGACAGGTCCATCAAAGTCTAGCTTAGAAGCACAATTATTGGAAAAAAGCTTGGTGAAAGGAAGGGGTATTGACAATATCTTAGGGTTTGATTGGCCAGCATCACCATCAACTGAATCCATGGTTAGATCTCTTGAAGTTTTATATTCACTTGGAGTTCTTGATGATGATCCTAAACTCACTTCACCTGTTGGTTTCCAAGTTGCTGAGCTTCCATTGGTATGTTAATACACCATCATCATCATCATCATCATCATCATCACTAAATGCAATAAATTTTGGTTGTTTTTATTTAGGATCCTATGGTGTCAAAAATGATTATAGCATCAGACAAACTTGAATGTTTAGAAGAAATCATCACTATTGCAACTATACTCTCAGTTCAGGTGTATAAACATTTCTCTATGATTATTCATTCTCATGTCTTTAAAATCATTGTTGATGATTATTTATTATTATTATAATAATAATAATAATAATAATAATTATTATTATTATTATTATTATTATTATTATTATTATTATTATTATGTTAAAATAAATAAAACTTTTTTCAGTAAATATGGATATCGGTCAAAGGGCAGAGGGAGCTGGATGAGGCCAAATTGCGATTTGTTGCATCAGAGGTGTGTTGTCTTATATATGACTCATAATTTAGTGAAAAAAAAAATAGCATCCGACGTTACTTTCATTTATTTTGTGTAAATGTTTCAATATTTTAATAAATTTTGTGTTGATTTTTGAATGGTAATCATGTGACTTTCCTAAATGTGTACAGGGGATTTCTTTAGTCTAATGAATCATCAAAATGGTGTCACAAAAACATCATTAATTACCATGCAATGGTAGTAACAAAAGTGTTTCAATTCTCATTCTTAATAGTATTATTTTTTCAAAAAAGTAACTTTTATTTTTATATATCTTATTTAAAGTTTATCCTTTTTTTTAAGAAAAAAGTAATGGAAATCAGAGAGCAGCTAAGAAGAGTAGCACAGAGACTAGGGTTAGCCTTAAAATCATGACAAAACGATTTTCAGGTATTTATTATTATTTATTTATTTCATCACAACTCTTCTCATATACATACATATATATATATATATATATATATATATATATATATATATATATATATATATATATATACATATTTTTTTCTTTATATTCATACAAAATTTAGTATTTACAGTGATTTTTGGTTGTTTTTTAGGTACTAAGAAAGGTAGTGACAACTGGATTTTTTGCTAATGCGTGTCGTTTAGAGGTGAATTAGCAAATTTAATAAACTATTTTATTAAAATTAAAACAAAAAGTTTGTTGTTTTAATTTTAAAAAAAAAAATAAAAATTAAACATTGTGAAGGTATACAGTCACCTCTACCAAACTCAATTTTACTTCTTCACTTCTCTGATTGCTTGATACCACAATCAATTCATCATCTTCTTGTTTGTTTCCTTAATTATATTTTATTTTCATGTAATCGGTGTTGAGGAGAAGCTGTGATTAATGATGTCTTTGATTGATCTAGAATCTATCTCGGAGGCAACATGAGGAGCTATTGGAGCTGTTTTGAGCACAACCATCTTGTACCCTCTTGACACCTATAAAGCTAAGTATCGGGCCGAGGTTCGCTCACATGTACGGCATAAATACAAGTACTTTTCGTTCTTGAACTTCCCTAAATTCATCTGTTTTGAGTGATCTGATTCTTGTTATGCTGTTGAACTTGATTGATTGATTTCTATATGGTTATCTTGTTGATTACTTTCATATGGGTGTTTGTGATCTGTTGAATAACTGAATTTCGTGATTTTATTCTTCTCACATGACTTGTACCTTCTTCTGCAACATCTATTTTCTCCTTCAAGGTATGAACTATGAACTACAATTTATGATTCCCTGATTCCAGTTCCTTTCATTGATTCCATTCCTGAAAATTATGAATGAGCAATTTACCATGATTTCTTAGTCATTAGGTGCCGATTTCACATACACATGAAAAAATTAATGGATCGTCTTTCTGTCATCTAGGATCACCCCAAATCACGATGCATGCTAATAGAATGAGTGAACATAGGTTTGAATTAGGAAAAAAAAATCAAATTTTGGATTGGATCAATAAAAATTCTATACTTGGGCATAGAAATGAACAAAAAAACTGGAAAATATGTTGTCTATAAATCTATTGTTTCACTTTGATTCTAAGTTTGACAGATCATTACTGAATTGTAGGATATTTGATCTTTTTGTAACTCATGTTCTTATAGCTCAAGTCAACAAAACTACTGAATCTTGTAAATCGGTTCTATGCTTTTCATAATTGAAGAAAATGGTTCATATATTTTGCTAATGGGTTATCTTGAAAATGTAAAAAAATCTCACCTTTTTTAAATTGATTGAAATTATGCATGAAATAGTAAAAAATGAAGGTACCTGAAGTAATAATTTGATGATTTGAAAGTCAATATTAGCATGGTACCAGACTAAAAATTGGGTCGATATCCGAGATCCATATACCAAGAAGATATTCTTCAATGATCTAGTCAGATCCCACTTTAGTAATTATTCCTTTTTCTACACAGAAATTTTTGCATTTTTCTTCCGGCAACATTGGCGACTGATATCTTGACATCCACACACTAGTAAGATTCACTAACCTCATTATATTCATTTAATTTTTTCTAGTGTTGGGGTTCTTTGAGTTAAATATTCTGTTTAGTCGTAGCATTATTGTTCCAATTTGATTGATTTCATACTCGCTACATGGACTTGATTCATTGAATTGATGTTTCTGGTTGTGGTTTTGGTTGGGATTTTTACATCCGGTGGTTTGGTTAAAGACAAGGTAAAAAGTAAAACTAATTAGTAAAGATTTTTTAAATAAAAAACCGTATTATATCTAGGGATTTGACAACATGGATGGTAAAAAATATAAACTTCCAACTGTTTCATTCATCATTTTTAAATCTCCAAAGTTTATAGGGTCCCTTATGTATTTATCAAGTATTTGATTGTAATTAACTGAAAATATTTTATTATTTATTTATTTATTTATTTATTTTTGCACTTATGTTGATATGTACATGTGTTTATAGGGTTGATGATGAAAGCGAATAGCTGTGGAGTTAGAAGAGGAAAAGAAAGCTCAAGCTGAAAGAGATAAGATGCTGCAAATGCAAATGTTGCATTTTTCATTCCAATTGTTAGTATGAAACACGGAGTAGATTAGATGAATGCAAATTTATATATTGTAAGAAATAGAATTATATGACATTAAATTTTATGCAATGGATTGTATTTTTTGTATATGGTATTTTATTTCTATTATGAGACATTAAATACAAATTTAATTTGAAAATTAGTAAATCTATAAATAATGTTTTTTTTAAACATTTAAAATTATGATACGCAAAAATGTGTGTCATCTTTATTTATGACATGGCCTTTCTTGACAGTGGCTTTCTTGATACGCATTGCGTGTCATTAACACGCACGTCGTAAGGTTATGACATGCAAATGCGCGTCATCTTCCTTTATGACAAGGCCTTCCTTGATACGCATTGCGTGTAAACGCACGTCGTAATTGCGCGTCGTAAATGAGCGTCGTAAATGCGCGTCGTCTATAGACGAGGCGCAAAAGCGTATCGTCTCTCTTTATGACATGGTCTTCCTTGACGCACATTTGCGCGTCATCTGAGCCTTTTACGACGCGCAATGAGCGTCGTAAAAGGCTGTTTTTCTAGTAGTGCTCCAAAAACAACAGGATCATATTTGACATCCAAGGAGTTGAAAAATTCCCAAGATGCCACCTGAAAGTTTCCCACCAAGCTGCCACCTGTTGTTTAGTAAAATCGCTTAGTAATTTAAATTATGACAACTTGTAACAAAAGGTTGTAAAGTGTTTACATTTACTCAGGTCAACTCTAAATTGAGTAAAATCTATTTGACCAGTCTTGAGCACCTGTATACGCCACATAAATGACACTTTGGAATTTAAATTTCTGTTAAATGACAAAACTACCATTGAATAACAAAGGAGAAAAAGCAAGAGATTTTCACATAAGTAAAAGAATCTACTTGTTGACAGAAAGGAGGGCTCTGTAGCAGCTCCATATTCTTCTGGACTACATTACCCCCGTAGTCAAGATACTATTATTTCTTTGAGTTGCAACTCAAACAATATCCAATTGTAAGCACCTCTCTTAACAATATCAACGTCTATTATAAATGACAAATAAATACCTCTCTTAACAATATCATATGCAGTACCAACCTCAAAATTATTACCTCAAGGACTTTTTAAAATTTATTGAGGAGACTATAGAGAGTTCTTGACGACCTTTCCATTCTTCATATGGTTTCAAATTTATTAGGTTTTCAACAGCATGGTTTTATAATCTTCATCTCCCAAATCGAGTATTGCTTTTGACTTTTTGTCCTAGGGATTCCATAAAACTAAAATTAAAAAAAAAAAAAAAAAAAAAAAAAAAAAAAAAGCGGACATGATCGTTAGGGGAGATTTCGTAATTTTGGGTTACAAAAGTTTTAAGGAATTTAAAGATGGTGAAGAGAAAAACCTGCATCCATCATGCCTTCTTTAAGAAGAATGTCTCAAAAAGCATGGGATGGTATCAAAAAACAATGGCATATCGTTGTTGATGGTGATGAAATCCCTCCACCAATCAAAAACTTTAAAGACATGAGATTCCTGGATCCTGTTTTGAAAAAATGAAAGAAAAAGGAATAGTACAACCAACACCTATTCAACTTCAAGGATTACCCGAAGGGACATGATTGGAATAACATTTACAGAGTCTAGAAAAACATTGGTGTTTGTGTTTCCATTGATTATGATGGCATTACAGGAGGAGATTATGATGCTAATTGCAGCAGGGGAAGGCCCTTTAGGGTTAATTATTTGCCCTTCTAGAGAGCTGGCTAGACAGACATTTGAGGTTGTGGAAGAGTTTTTAGTACCCTTGATAATTTGGATTTCCAGAAATTAGACCCTTGCTTTGTATTGGAGGTGTCGATATGAGATCACAATTGGATATTGTTAAGAGAGGTGTTCATATTGTCGTTTTTCTCCATCAGGATTTACAAGAATACCTGCACTCCCCATAATGTTACATGTTATGGATTGTCAATACTATTCCTGGTTTCTATAATGTACAAATTTCAATATTATGAGTTAATGAATACTTTTAAAGATCTTAAAGAAAGAAATATCCATAAACTAAGATCATGCCTGAAGTGAAAGATGATGATAAATGTCCCAATAGAGGAGTGGAAGTACACCTATCTGCCATTCATGGACATGTATGACATCAGGTTGTGTTCCAGTTACCTGCATTTTGGTCAATGGATTCTTAAAAAGGATCATAGAAGATAGTTTGATGATGGAAACCATGGAAATAAAAAAAAAAGGTTTAACAAATTATCTTCTTAAGCACAATATAAACAAGTTGATGAAGAGTAAGGTACAAACCTGCATCCATTCAAGGCAAGCACGACTGAAAAATAAATAAGCCTCAAATTCATTGTAAGAGCCTCTATATACGTCTTCCCCTTTAAAGAATTGCTTCATTGGTTCCAAAAGTATAACTGGAATGCCAGATACCATTCCAGAGTATGCATTAGTTTCAATCCAGTTTCCATCATAATATGAATTATAAGTAGACATTAGTGACAATTCTTGTAAATTCAATGATAAAAAAAAATAAAAAATGCTCAAAATTATTACCTCCATTAGGATCTGTTGCCTTACCTAGACATTATCATAGTAAGAAAAAAAAA